GCAGGTAGTATGAGATCATTAATGTGTAGCCCACAGCAATATGTATGAGACATTCACGATGAAGAGTGTGAGGACGGTTAGACATTAATGTGTGAGCGCCACAGCAGTTATGTTATGAGACATTCACATGAGAGAGTATTGGAGGATGGCTTAGACATTTAATGTTGAGCCGCGACAGCAGTAGTAATGAGACATTCAGCATGAAGAAGTGTGGAGGAGTTAGGCATTAATGTGTGAGCCGACAGCAGTAATGTATGAGACAGCTTAGATGTTGTGAGCCAGCAGCAGTAGTGTCATGGAACATTAAATGTGTGAGGCCACAGCAGTATGTGATGGAGACGATTAATGGTGTTGAGCCTACAGCAGTATTGTATGAGACATGCCACATGGAATACGTGTGGAGGATGGTTAGGTATTAATGTGTGAGCTCCACAGCAGTAGATGGTATTAGACAGTCCACGATGAATTGTGTGAGTGGAAGGTTATGGTAGTTAATGTGTGAGCGCGGACAGGGCAGGTGTATATATGAGACATTCACATGAAAAATAGTGTGGAGGAGGTTAGGGTATTATGTGTGAGGCCTACAGGGGCAGAGTGTATGAGACCATTCACATGAAGAGTGTGAGGAGGTTGTTAGGTATTGAATGTGGAGCCGTAGTCAGCATATGTATGGAGACATTTAAGTGGTGTGATCCCACAGCGAGTATTGTATGAGACATTAATGTGTGAGCCTAGCAGCGACGTGATGGTGGATGAGACATTCGCCATGCAGAGTGTGGAGGAGGTGTAAGTATTGAATGTGTGAGCCTACAGCAGTATGTATGAGACACTTTCCGGACATGAAGATGTGGAGAGGTGTAAGGCATTTAATATGTGGCCCACAGCAGTATGGTATGAGACATGGTCGCATGGAAGAGTGTGGAGGAGGTGTAAGGGCATTAATGGTGAGCCTACAGGCGAGTAGTTTGAGACAATCACGATGAAGAGTGTGGAGGATGGTTAGGTATTAAGTGTTGTGAGCCTGACAGGCAGTAGTGTGATGAGACATCTTCCGATGAAGAGTGTGGAGGAGGTTAGGTATTAAGTGTGAGCTACATGCAGTATGGTAGTGGAGACATTCACATGAAGAGGTGTGGAGGAGGTTAGGTATTAATGTTGTGAGCGCCACAGCAGTAGTGTTATGAGACATTAATGGTGATCCCCAGCTAGATGTATAGACATTATATTGTGAGCCAAGCAGTATGTATGCAGACATTCGCATGGGAAGAGTGGTGAGGAGGTTAAGCATTAATGGTGGTGGGAGGCCTCACACATTAATGTATGAGACATTCGCAGTAGAAGAGTGTGGAGGAGGTTAAGCATTGAATGTGTGAGCTCTACGAGCAGTAGTGTATGAGACATTCACATGAGAGTGTGGAGGGAGGTTAGGGTATTTAATGTGTGAGCCTACAGCAGTGATGTATAGACATGTCCTGCATGGAAGTAGTGGTGGGAGGAGGTTAGGTATTAATGTGTGAGGGGCGCTTGAAGCAGTATGTATAGACATTCCTACATGAAGAGTGTGGAGGAGGTTTAGGTATTGGAATGTGTGAGCCCACAGCAGTATGTATGAGGCATGGTAGATGGTGTGAGCCCAGCAAGCAGTAGTATGGAGACATTCCCCATGAAGAGTTGTGGTAGGAAGGTTGAGACATTAATGTGTGAGCCCACAGACAGTATGTATGAGACGAGTTCACCATGAAGAGTTGGTGGAGGGAGGTGTGAGATACTTAATGTGTGAGCCACAGCAGTATGTTGAGACATTAATGTGTGAGGCCTACAGGGCAGTGGATGTATGACGACATTCGGCGATGAGAAGAGTAGTGGGAGTGAGTTTTATTTATATTTGTGAGTGCCTACAGCATTATTTGGTATGTATTGAGACATTCCACGATGAAGAGTGTGTGAGGAGTTTTAGGTTATTAATGTGTGAGGGCCCACAGCAGTAGTGTATGTAACATTTTATATGTTGTGATAGCCCACAGGCAGTATGTAGAGCACATTAATGTGTGATTGCCCACAGCAGTAATGTATGAACATTTATGTTGAGCCTATCATGGGCCGTATGTATGTTAGACATTCACTTATGAAGTAGTGTGGAAGAGGGTTAGGTATTAATGTTGTGAGCTCTACAGCATAATGTGTATTGAGACATTTTCACGTTATTGAAAATTTGTGGATGGAGGTTAGACATTAATGTGTGATGCCCACAGCAGTAATTGTATGAAGACATTTAATGTGTGAGCCTACAAGCAGTTATTGTATGTTGAGACTATTCGCAAATTGAAGAGTTATGTGATGGAGTTAAGCATAATTGTGTTGATTGCTCATCTAGCAGTTATGTATTAACATTCACATTATATATTTTGTTTGGACGTAGGTTTAGATCATTAATTGTGTGATGCCACTATCATTATTATGAGCATTATATGTGAGCCCACAGTCATTTTATTTATTTTGTATTGTTACTATTAATTTTGTGTTGATGGCCTATTTTTTATCTATGTCATTATAAATTTTGTATGTATGAGACATCACTTTATTTTAAGATGTGTGTATGGTTTTGTATGACATTAATGTGTTGCGTCCCACAGCAAGTATTATGAGACAATTCTTATGAATTTTTAGTTGTGGAGGAGGTTAGGTTTTTTATAAATTAATATCAATATATTTGTTGTGTGAGCCTATCATGCTAGTATGTTATCTGGTATGATCTATTCACTTATTGAAGAGTGTTGTAGGAAGTAGGTATTTAATGCTGTTGACCTACATTCTAGTTATGTATTTAGACATTTCACTTATGAAGAGGTGTGAGTAGGTTAGTCATTTTAATGTTTGATGCCACAGCATGTACTTGTATTGATACATTAATTTGTGTGAGTGGCCTACGCAGTATGTATTTAGACATTCGCAGATAGAGTATTGGAGGAATGGTAATTGTTTCATAATGTGTGAGCCCACCACTTTAATTGTATTAGACATTGCACGATGTAAGAGTGTGGAGGTGTTATATCATTTAATGTGTGTAGCCCATTTTCAGCAGTAATTGTATGAACATTTAATGTGTGAAGCCCCCACATCAGTATTTGTATGAGATCAGTTAATGTGTGTTATGCCTACAGGCAGTTATGTAGAGACATTCCACTATTACTGAGTGTGGATGTGATGTTTAGTATCATTAATTGTTGAGTCTCTTTCAGCAGTTATTTATGTAATCATTCACGATTGATAGTATTGTTTGTGATGGGGTTTAGGTATTTAATTGTGTGAGCCTTCTAATGCATATTATCGAACGACATTTCACATGAAATAGTAGAGGAGCGCATTTATTGTGTGAGCCCTACAGGTCAGGTATGTTTATGTAGGTCGTTTAATGTGTGAGCCACAGGTCAGTATGTATGTTAGACATCTCACAATTGAATATGTTGTATTGAGTGAGGCATTATGTGTGAGCCTAAACACGCAGTATGTATTTAGTGCATTAATGTGTGTACCCACATTGCATATGTATGAGACTTCAATCATGAAGAGTGTGGAGGAGGTTAGACAATGTGTTGAGCTCCCATCAGCAGTATGTATGTAGACATTATATTGTGTGAGCCTTACAGCAGTATGTATTTGAGTCATTCAATGTTGTGAGTTCCTACAGCAGTTATTTTTATTTTGATATCATTAATGTGTGTACGCCTACAGGGCAGTATGTATGAGACTATTCCTGAATATGAGTGGGAGGAGGGTAGTATCATTAATGTGTGATCCCACAGCAGTATGTATTGAGACATTTCGCATGAAGAGTTGTGGAGAAGGTTTAGACAATTCATTGTTTTGATGACGTCACTAGCAGTATGTTATGGCAGATCATTCACTTGATGATGTTAAGTGTGTGAGGATGGTTAGGTATTAAATTTGTGAGCCCACCAGTCAGTAATGTATTAGACATTCACAATATGATATGAGTTTGGATATAGTTAATTTTATTCATTAATGTGTTGAGACGCTCAGCTAGTTATGTATGAGATCTTATTAATGTTTATGCCATCAGCAGTTATGTATTGAAGTTATTTATAATGTGTGAGTCACTCACATGTTATTATTTTATTGATGTACTATTTCACTATGAAATTGAGTGTGAGGAGTTAGGTATTAATGTGTGAGCCTCAAAGCAGTATATGAGACATTCCACTATGTATAGAGGTGGAGAAGTTAGATTACATTAATGTGTGATGACCATCAGCAGTATGTATAGACATTAATGTGTTGAGCCCTACAGTCAGTTATGTATGAGGACATCACATGATAGTAGTGTGGATGAAGGTTATTACATTAATTGTGTGATCCCTACACAGTATGTAGTGTATACCATTAATTGTGAGCCCACAGCAGTATGTATTTGAGACATTAATTGTGTGAGCTCCACAGGAGTATGTATGAGACATTCACATGAAGAGTTGTGGAGGAAGGTTTAAGACATTAAGTGTGAGCCCAAGCAGTACGTATGAGACCTTCATATGAAGAGTGTGGAGGAGACATTAAGCCCACAGAAGCGTAACCAGCGTTTTTATACCCACTAACCTGATCGCATGGTATTATTTTACTCAGCGACATGACAAAAACAACCTATTATAAGAAGGGGAAAAAAGGGGGGGGGGTCCATTATTAAGTAAAAAATACACCATTTCCCGTGAATAAAAATAGCAATTTCGGGTTTCCCGCGTCGTTCCGATTGACTTCTATTGTCGAATCACGAAAATATTATCCGGTATTTCCCGGTTCCCGGACAATTAAGATGCTCCAATCCTGCGTCCCGAAATTAACCGCTTCCCTCCTCTTCTTCTAGAGATAGAATAAATCATACAAGGAACCACATAAAACTGCAGCGTCATCATAGAGTAACGGCGCATGCGCGCGCGGCTATGCGATCACAGACCTACACGCTTTATTGAAAACTGTTAATTTTCTAGGAGATTAATGACAGCGTCAGCGAGGGAAGCAGGAAATGAAGATGCGGACAGCAAATCCGGCATCCCACCGAGCAATGCTAGCGAGGTATCTATGACAACGGCCACGCAGCATCCACGCACGATGGCGGCTGTGATGGACATCCGCATCCTGTCGGCGCATCTCTCGTCGTACTGCGCGTATGTCTATAGTTAGCCATGGCGAAGAGAAGGAGAAATAGCACATTATACAAGTCACTGCACTATCTTAGTGGGCGACTAGACTAGGCTCTAGTATTCAGCTGCGAGTCTGATAAGTGCAGGCAAACGATCGAAGCAATCTAAACGCGATATAGAGAGAATCACCGGGAATAATTAATTTGGAGGGGACGCCGTGCATGTTCAATTTGTAACCTAGTTTCGGAATGATGGATCATCACGGAGAGTGACTGGAGAAGCGAAGCGACAATGCTTATATGTTACACCGCTGCTCGATCACGCGCGGGGTTAGCAAGATGGAAAGATGGCGGCAGAACATCGAAAACCCGCGTTTTTACGACGTTAACTACAAACATTTTACGTAGAACTGCAGACGCAACGATGATGTAATAGCAGAACACGGCGCGAGATGAAGAATATTTTTTATACGATTCGATTTCCTGCAATAATTTAATGAATGGCAATTGGAAGACACTCCAATATGTTTATCACGTTTGCATTATTATTTAGTAGGTGAACACACATTTAAATTCGAGTAGCGATGTATGTAGTGATGTGTTATGGTAATGCTATAGAATCTAACGCATACAAATGACGTATGAAATAATAAAACATTATTAGGATATATATATATATCATGATTGGTTTCAACACCACAACCTATGTTTTTGAATAAAATTAAATTTTTGTGGTTTAAGTAAAAATCTCTCCCATGAAACAGAACAATGACATGAAACCAGACCTTATGGAGAGAAGTCGTGACCGTAGCCACAGTTTGTTGTATTTTGTTCATCTGATGGTTGTCTGGCGACATCGGATGCGCGACCTCAAATCTATCTATAGCAGCGGCGGCAATATGGCGTATAGAAACGGTGATTTTTATTATATACTTCACATATACAATTTATACCCGTACAATCATCTCCGTCAGTCTAAGTGAGAGAGAGAGAGAGAGAGAGAGAGAGAGAGAGAGAGAGAGAGAGAGAGAGAGAGAGAGAGAGAGAGAGAGAGAGAGAGAGAGAGAGAGGGACAGCAAGGCACGTAGTAAGGGACAGCAAGAAGGCAATTAAACGACAGCGATTGACAGACAGAGATGGTTGTACGCGTATGTGTATGTGTACGCGTATATGTGAAGTATATAATAAAAGTCACCGTTTATATACCATATCCGCACACCACCGAGTATGCCTTGCTAAGCGTGGTCTGGTCGGCATATGGAAACTTTACGCATATAGGCAGCCTATCAGGATAGTCTACCCTGAAACTAGGGGGAAGGTTACAGGCATCTTACACATTATATGCGGTGTGCAAATGTAAATAATGCACGCCGTGTTGAAGGATAACAAGGGAAATGGCAAAGTGATGTTGAATACAATGTTAAAAGTGAGGAATGATACAATAAACGAATATATAATATATATATATATATATATAAATATAATTAATACAACTATTATTATTATTATTATTAACGTTTTATTGAATATAATTCGAATACAAATACATGTACTGAAAACAGCCTTTTTCATGCAGAACAAATCTGATGGATGCAATAGTGTTGAGCGGTTGAAGTGTGCTCAAGTACGCTCGAAATCGAATAATTCTGCCGAAATGGAATTCTTTATGAATACCGCCACATACCAAGATTATCGTAGATATTCATAGTCTATGACACCACCTAAATGCCCGTGTGTATGCGTAAATACGTACGCATGATATTGTGCGTAAGGGGAAGACTGTCGGACGTCAACGAAGATTGTAAAAGTGAAATAAAATTTCCGTTTTTACTGCTTCTGGTCATTTATAACGTGTATACGTAGAAAATCACATTACACAACAAGACAACGCGATAGCTCATCCCCGACAGAGCGTACCACACAGTATCACAGTTAGTATTGCAACAACCATGCAGAGGAAAGCAAGTGACTAAGGGACAGGAGATGAAGAATGTGATACTTGACAGGCCAGAATTAATCGTGTTTGTATCATGTGAGCAGATCCGAGCTGCATAGATCGCATTGCATCAAGGGCGTCTTTACTATTGATCGTTTTTGAGAAGTAGGGTGAGTGAGTCATGCATGTGCCGTAACCTTTTCGCGATTGTGTAACAATTAGTCATTGAAACACTGAGAATTAAATGTGAGATTACGAGGCGTAAACGAATGAGATGCTGCTGAATAAGACCTGCATCTGTTGTTCCTGTACTTACTACTTGTGGATGTACTCGGTGTAGGTCCTATAACCCCTGAACGTAATGCTAAACCATACCATTA